GCTGTTCAGTCATCAGCCTATTCTGTCTTGCTGCAGCTTGCCATGGGCTGTAGTACTTCCCATCCTCCTGCTGCCCCTGTGCCTGCTCCCTCCACATGCACCTTCTCTGCTAGGCCATGGAGCAGGCCACGGCTCTGCCTCTGCTGCTCGGCTGTGTGTACGGGAATATTGATTTGACAGTGTGTATGCTCTGTAAGAAAAAAAAAAATCAATATTTCAGTAGATTGAGCAGAGTGTGCGGCAGTGTAATGGAGCCCAGCCTGCTAACGTAATGTGCAGGGGTCCTCATTCAGAGATTGAGGTCAGTCAGAAAATGGAAATGTGTTTTCTTATTTTATTGTGTGCTTCAGGTATAATGTAGGTGTTTATGTTCTAGTGTTTAACTTATAGCACGCAGGTACTTTTAAGTCATATCCAACAGAAGGTCACATATTGCAGGTGACATACACAAAAAAGCACGTTACAGATATACAATCCATTTTTTTAAAGCTCAGTAAGTCCCCCCTTGCCTTTATCCATCATATATGTATGAAACAACAGTTGTAAGGGAAAATGCGTAATTTTTGTTTCTGCAAATAAAAATAATGTTCCATTGTTTGGTGCAAACTTGGCTTTTGATTGTGTAAGGAAATACGTGGTACTTTAATAAACTCCAATACAGTGACATGTATCGAAGAGTATCATAAAACGGACATAAGTGAAAAGAATGAGGGAGGAGAAATAATCAATGTATGACACAAAGCCAGAGTAAAAGCTCCCGTTGATTTTAGTAGACCTGGGATTTCAGCCAGAATGTTCTCCATGATACATTTTCCACTTTTTAAACCATTGCATCATGCCTTAAAATGTAAAAGTAATCCATAAAATGACATGAGAAACCACGGCATTCTCAGGCTCATAGTCAAGATTAGTGTAAGCTTACTATTGTTTCACGGCTCTGGGGACGCTTGATACGATCCTATCTTTACTTAATAATTTTATCTGCTGCTTTTGTCAGAGGCTATTTCTCATCCACCAAAATCCCTCACTGCAGCAGTGAGCACAGATCTGTACAACAGGCAGCAGAGTTTTGTGTTTGTGAATGTTAAAATGCTTTGTGCTGAATATAACATACATTTCAAGATGCTACGGGGGCCTTCGTGTTCGGTAAAAAAGGCAAAGCTATTTATTCTTTCGTCATTCACATTCTCTAATTGGAGACTGATTTGGCAGTCGTGGCTGGGGAGGCACGCAGGGCTAGAGCAGTAACATCTTTCAGTTACAACTCTGGCTTAGGACATGACTCATGGAGAAAGCTTCCAAATGTAAAATACTGCTACCTACAAACGCACATGATGCTGGGATTGCTCAGAAGCCAGCTGATATTCTACAGTCACTGAACACAGATTTCTCATATACGTTTCACTGTTCTGAAGTGCTTGTTTTAGTATTAGCAGCTGCTGGAAACCTATGCACTCACCACTCTTAAAAACATACCTCAAGATATGCAGTGTGTCCTAAAATATTTTATCTATAGTTTAAAAAATAATACTGTAGTAATGTAAAATGTAAAAATATATTAAAAACACTATGATAGAATATTTTACTTGGTCCTAGAACGCTTTTCACAGTACAAGTATGATAAACTGCAATGAAAGTATTATTTTAATTTAAATTAGAAGATAAATCTCATAGCTGAAGATTAAGAAATAATAATTAGTCTTGCACTTTACTTTAAGAGTCCATCTGTTTTGGCAGCATGATTCCAACTAAGAAGATTCAAGGAGGTGGTTACTACGTGACACAGACAAAAGTACGTGATATAGAGGACCAGGCTGTGACATTTTGTAAAGTAAAGCTGAGCAGTATTTCACAGAATGTTAGTTTAAAAGGTGGGAGAGTTTTATGATAGAATTTACTTTTATGAAAACTCTCTTTTTCAAGGGTTTTGCCAGCTTTGTGAAACAGTAAATTGGGGGTGAGTTTTTGTGGGTTTTGATTTGGTTTGGTTCGTTTGATTGGTTGACTTTTTTGGTTTTTGGGGGTTTTTTTCATTTTGAAGAAATTAGTACATTGTAAGAATTATCAAATAGAATTTAAATCTAATTGAAAACTGGAGTTATGCTGGGTGGATAATTAATTTTCTCATTAGGTGGAGAACTTTTATGGAATTCATACAATAAGCACTCAGCCTAAAGCATCAATCAATATTATAGAATGTTTTAAAACAAATGTAAACAATTCATATTATGACAATCTGTGGCATTACTTATTGATAGAAGAAAAATGATACATAGAAAATCAGTGCCATATAATTCTAATTCTTAGTTGGTTATTATCTGAGATTGCTCTTGATTAAATATGATTTGTGTTGTATCTGTGTAATTCTGGTCTTCATTACTATAATAAATGTGCATTAAAACTGCATTATAATGTCCTAATTGTGAAATTGCCATTGAGTAAATTAAGGTTATAAGTATTGTGATGCAATATTTTACTGAATGTTTTATTTCCTAGTGCTTAAATTTCCTTGCACATTTGAATCATAAAATTAATTGCTAAAGTTAATAAATAATGATAGATAGTCTAAGTCAGTGGTAAGTTGGAGAAGAATCCAGTTTTCCTGAATTTCTATTCTCTCCCTAAAGAATAGACAAAGTAGATACTTCTTTCTAAAATTGTAGAAATGCATGACAGATATAAATATAATTTTAGTAGAACCTGAACATTAGTAAAATAAGACAAGACCAAGCATCAAATCAAAACTTGAGGACACAAGAACATAATGTAATGAACTTTCATTCAAGGCCAGTAGAAATCATTCTATTGACTTTAATAAAACTGTTATCAATTCATAATGTGCTGGCATCAAGTGTATGAATAGCTCCATTAGTTAAGTAGCTGAAGCTCATAACAGCTTATATGTTAGAAATTTGCAGAATCAAACCCTAGATGTCTTCTAAAAAACCTGCAAAGAGTTAGAAGGGCTCCATTTACACTATAGATCCCAAACGGAGTGACTCTGTCATCTGCATTTTACAGAAGTTATGAATGGATCTGCAAGGCAATCACTGCTGGGTTAGCGTAACACTATCTGCAAAACATTAGCATTCTGGAAAACAATGGTCATTCCAAAATGTGCTTTTGTTGAGCATTAAAATGAAATTTGAACCTTCCTGGAAAAAAAATGCCAAACAGGCATAAAAAGACAGAAACTAGTAAGAATATTCCCTTTTACCCTGTCTGATGATGTTCAGCTTTGCATGGCTGGCCCAGAAAGAGATTAACACACTGAATCAGTGGGGTTTGAACTTCTCCTGCCCATTTCCTCCAGGGAATGCCTGAGCACTAAGCAGCCATCTACTTTGAGGAACAGAATGGAAAGTCTGTCCTTCTCTCTTTTTTTTTTTTTTCTTTTTTTTTTCTCCTTCCAGAAATTCATTTCTGAATCTGAGAAGCCTTCTTACTGGAACAAATATTTTCCACTAAAAAGTTCCATTTCATCAAGTTAGCATTTTTGCATACAAACAAATAGACTGTGGGAAAATTCCCACCGAGATTTACTTTGGAGTCTTTCAGAAAAAAATCATGCAAGGGAGAATTATAGGAATGGCATTTGCAAAGGCATACACATACAGTTCTCTGTTGAGTTCAGACACAGCACTATCTAGGACAAAGACTTGAGGGCATTTAACCTTTCATTTTTCGAGCAGTAGAAAGCTCTGATACAAGAAAATCAGCTAGAGATAAATAAACAACCAAATTCTGTACCATCCATCACGAGCCACAATTTATTCAGTCTATAAAAACTTCAGTGAGGATTGTGCTGAAGCTTGTCAGCAGAGTCTGCAGGACCAGGACTGAGAAGGAGCAACCAAGAGGTTATTGATGTAACAGGCCCAAGTGTCTCGAATGGTGTGTCCTAGAAATGGGAACCAAGGGCCATACTGCTCAAACTGGCCGACAGCTGCTTATGTAAGTAGCCTCACTGAATTCAAACCTGCTCTAAAAAGGCACTTAACAGTCTTCTAGCTGCAACAATGTGAAAAGAAGGTAAATGACTGGAATAAGATCTATGCAGGCTGTAGTCAAATGCTTCTTGCAGAAATGGCTGGGATGATCATGAGGTTACCTACTTCTTCCATCTGCCCTACACTGGCAGTTCAAGATAAACCAGTTGCTTTCACAGTGATGGAAAAGCACTTGCATAGGGTATTCCTGTGGTGAAAGCTCTAAAAGCATGCACCATCACTGCCATTTCCCCTGCCTGTGGCCTCAGTGTTTGAGTGCTACATTTTCTCACAGAATCGTAGAACGTCCTGAGTTGGAAGGGACTCACAAGGATCATGGAGTCCAACTCCTGGTCCTGGACAGGACACCCCGTGAGCCACAGCATGTGCCTGAGAGCATTGTCCAAATTCTTCTTGAACTTTGTCAGGCTGGGTTGACTGGCTTGTGATCATTTCCCTGGGGAGCCTGCTCCAACTGACCTCTGAAGAACCTTGTCCTAATATCCAACCTCAAGCTCCTCAAGCCTAGCAAATCTCATCTGGTGAACAACTCTGAGGAAAAGAATTCATGCCGCAAAATTTAGTGAATAAATGCTGCTAATGCAACTTGCAACTACAGACTGGCTGAGAGTGCAAAGAACTTTAAAAAACATAACCCAGTCCAGCCTGCACACATATTTTCTCTGGGTAAAACTAATGTCATTTGCAGATACTAGTCTTGTAGGGAAGTTCTGTAAGCATTTGGGAAATGAAAACTATTCTTACATACTGAATAACCAAAGAAGATAGAGGGTGGTGGAAAAAACATATGTGACAGTTGTGTTGTGCGACAGTTTTTCTTATCCTCCTCCAAACCATTTGCCTGGCAAACCCCTTCTTTATTTTTTTTAGTTTTTCCTTAACTTTTAGGTCTTGAGCACAGCTTACCCCACAAGGAACAAGCATTAAAAGTAATATCCAGTGAACACTGAAAATCATAATATCTCTACCACATTAATTTAATTTCTATTATTTACATCAAAGCATGAATTTGGGGAAGGAATGATTATTCAGGGTAAAGAAACTGAATGTTTAGCAGAAGACCCCTTTCCTCAGTCTCCTTGAACACATAAATCACAAATTCTCAAACAATCTTTTGACACAGAGGTATTTGATTAGGAAAAACCTGCTCTAATGGAAAGGTTTTCGTTAGCTTGGGATGAAAGAGCTGCTATGTTTCCCGGTGAATTCGGGAGCTGTGGGTCTTCCTGGGTCATACATTTCTAGCTCCCTTGGAGACTGTCGCAGTGCTGAGCGCTCAGCAGCTTTGGTATTCATCCAAGATGCAGCGTGACTGCTCCAGAAGGTACTCAGCTCCACGATCATATTTAAAACATCAGCTTCTGTCTCTGAGGTAACAGGCTGGGTATGATGAGTCGGAATCCCACTGAATGAAGCATCATACAACCATCCTTCAGAGGCCATCTGTACCTCCTCCAGAACACTATGGCTTTTCATTAGCAGTCCTGGAAGAAGAAGTGCACTCATCACATCTCCTGGGAATTTCCAAAGAATACAGTTCTAGAGTTCCCTCTTTCACTATTTTCTTATTCTGAAGTAGGGAAAGTATCTTTGTCCTGTCCAGATCTTAAAGAGGTGAAGTGAAGTCTGGCACCTTAATTTCAAAACATTAGCAACCACTTAGACTTTCACTTCTGCTCAGACTTGATTTATGGCACTCACCTTGAAGGACATATAATTCAAATCACCATCTACTTAGATCCACAGGAGGAATCTTCAGGCAAACCATCACAACAACCCAGTACTCTTCTGGCTTTTCTACACCACCAGGAAATGTTAGTGAATGCCAAACTTTTGCAACTGCAAACAAAGGGAAATGGATATTCATCTCTACCATTACTTTCATAATTAGTTGAACAGGGAAAAAACAATCTTACCAGGAAATCCTCACAAGTCTGAACTACATCTGTCAGCTTTGTTTGCTTGCCAGTTCTTCTGATGAACCACAGGAAATATATTCCAACTCCAGCACAGATTGTTCAGAGGAGACAAGACAGGCTCATTAGCACTGTAACCTGCAGGCAGGAGGCAGGCACAAAAAACCTTCAGCCTTTGGATAGGGTAGAGCAGATGCAACCACATGGGTTTGCCTGACACAAGTGGATTATATATTTGTGTTTATTTTGACCGTATAACCCCGACTGTGGCTCTTTATCAACGCGCACGTGACATCGATAGAGCAGGCTCTTAGATCCCAAGCTCACATGCATGAGAAGCCTGGGTAGTGCAGGTTCCCCTGCATGCAATTTCCCAAAGAACTGTATTTCTTCCATGCTGGAGGGTAACTGCAGTAAAACTGCTAATTGAGGCAGTCATCAGATATTAATAGAGTTACTTGAAAGAGTGGTGTAGTTGCTGTGCAGGACTTCTAGGCACAGTAAGTCATGATATGAGTATGTCACTTTTTTGAAAACTATGTGATTTTGTCAAAGCTTGCTGTACAACACACCATGAAATATATTAAAATAAATAATCTGAATAACTGAACAGTGTATTTAAAAGTAAATACATCAGAAAATAAATGAGATGTATTTCATGGGTCTGGATGTTTCTGTTCCCTCTAGCTAAATTCCATATCATTAAATGAATTTCTCTAGGCTTATTAGTTTGTTGTCTATAAAACATTTAGGAAATTTATATATGCCCCACTCAGCTGCTTTCAAATAAAGGCACTAGAAGCTGTTTGACTAAAGGCTGTTGTTTTTTTTTTTCTCATTGAAATCCGTAGAAAAATTTCTCTTAATCAAGTGAAGGAGGCAATCTTTATAAGTTCCCTTTTGAAACAGATTGCTTGGAGTCCTTTACTGTAAGAAAAATATTTCTCTTTAGATCCCACCATGGCACTCTCCTAATTTTATGAGATTAGGAATAGCCTGTCAAAATTCTGCAACACAGGGGGATCCTAATCATGAGCAGCTTGTTCCAGCTAGAATCATATTTCCTATGTTGCAGGACAGCAGTGGGCAAAGTGCTTCATTTGCACCTCACAGAAATGTGCTTTTCCTCCCCAATTTCTCAGCAGAATGCAACAAGACACTTCCTCTGGCCCTTAGCAACAGCCCTTAGCAAGGGCCGACAGAGAAGTACAAGCAGCAAAGCCAGGACTAGCAAAGAGCTATTGATTCGTGAATGAAAGAGAACATTTTCTGAAATTAAAAAAAAAAAAAAAAAGAAAAATCATCTAGTCACAATAACTCTAGGACAAGTCTAACTTTAGTGACTAGAAGCAAAAAGAGCAGGCAACTTGAATTGGCATTGATCTTGCTGGCATTCCAAGGGTAATATTTTCATTATGATAAAATGTTCTTTAACAATCTCTCCGGTGAATTGGGCACAAACATGCTTTTCTTCTACATTGGTCCTGCCTATCTTCCTGTTCCACCTATTTTTACACCACTAAAAAATATTTGTTTAGGCAATGCAAACAAAATCCCCCCTTCCATGTGTTTAAGTTTCCTGGCCATTTATGCTATACTGTAGTATAGGACCAGCAAGATAGATTATAACTTAGTTTCAAATTAATTTGTTTGTCTTATTTTCAGTCTCCCCTCAGAAAAGGAATAATAAAACTTGTCCAAAATGTTGGTAAACATGTAGGACCTGGATGAAAGTTCTACAGCTCCCCTTCCAAACAAACACACCAGCAGAGGAGCATACACACATACATAAATAAAAACACATTTATGGATGTGGACTGGCAAGTGTGTTTTGTCCAGAGAAATATTTTTTGTGTGAGATAATATAGAAAAATCAATACAGAGTCATATACCATATAAAATATATGTATATAAAATTTCTTCAGCCATTTTTAAACTTTGATTCCCAAAGACAACAGGTGAAAAGATGTGATTACAAATAGTCACTATGGATCTTCATCTTTCATAAATTTCCATGGTTTTCTTTGCCCATCTTGATCAGGCGATAATTTGTCTAATTAACATTTTTTCTTAGGAGGGAAATAGTCTGTGTGCTTTTCAACACTGCTCCAAAAATATATAGCAGTATTACGTGACAAAATGCATTGGTAGCAGATATATGACTATTGCTTGTTGTTACAAAGCATCAGCTATGCATTCATGGGCTGCACAGAGGACAGTCTCTGACTGAAGTCCTGCAGAGTCTCGGTGAAGATTTATGTGATTTTTTTTTTCTGCAGCTTATGATGTGGCAGAATGACCAATTTATGATGTGGGTGGAACTTGGTTCAGCACATGAAAATGCCTCCGCTCTCCAGATTATGCTCTCCTGTGGTAGGCAGTAATGCTTTCTGCCCTCCATATGGCCACCATGTGCCAGCAGACACCAAATTGGTATGTGGGTTAAATGTAAAATAACCACAAGAGCTCCTGAGCCAATAATTACAAAGCTCCTTTTGATATGGTTAGTGTATCATTATCTGTACTGTGCAATAATAAAACAGAGCTCATGTTGTCCCTCTCTTCTCCTTCAGTAGCTGGGGAGCTCATTGCAGAACTATCACACACAACTGATGTTCACAAAATGCTTTTAGGAATTGTCATAGCAGCAGCAAAGAGCACACCGAAATCGCAGTTCTAATTAGACATTAGCTTGAATAAAATACTGGAGAGAACAAAAAAGGAGGCTTATTCTGTGCATTCACTAAAGACATGTATCTTGCATCCTGGTCTGAGCTGCTCAGGCTCTGGGGTAGATGAGCTGGTTTGGAGGGCATCTCAGGTGTTACAGAAGTTCCCCTGACAATTTAAAGCCTAAATTATCAAGTTCTAGCACTCCGTACTTGTGTGCTCAAGGAACACACAGCTTTGCAAACACTGCTAGTTCCCACTTCTATCCAGGTTCAGTTCAAGGCTTGGATGTGAGTTATTTTATAATTTTGGCCTTGCCACAAGAATTTCAGAAACTAGTCCCTGTGGTTTTACCCAGCAGCTGAGATAAACTGGGATTCAGAAAAAAAATGTTTCCTGGATTTGCTTAGCTATAGGCTTAGGACAGGTCGTTCTTAAGTAAAGTGCTCATGACTATTGCTCTCCTTTGGTGCACTAAATCCCAACATTTTTTCAAGTGTTTTTTATAGATTTGAGATTTTTGGGAAGGTAGAATTTAGTGGGAGGGATTTGTTGAACAGGGAGTGTTGTTAACTTAAACTGGTTTTTGTCTTACACTTGGCAAATATGGATTATTACTTGTCATAGTTCATAATGGTATTTTATGTGTGATTTTGACTGACCTGCTGTGTTAAATGAAAACAAATAGGACTTGTCACTCACTTGACTTCTGAAAATGTTGTTCTAGCTGTCTGGTGCAGGATGGGCTTCCTGCTCATATTCTTGCAACATCTATAAAGCAATAGATAAGCACAAATCTGTCTCTGAAAATGTACAAATATTCCCATTAATCAGGAATAGAGAAGTTGGTGCACATACAAAATCCAGTTAGAAAGTAACTCACATGAACAGCAAATAGGATTTTCGGGTTTCTTGCCTATTTGTCAATTATAACAACTGACAGTGTTCCAATTAGCTTTAGCAATTTCCTCCATACAGTGTATAGAGTATATTATGTCATTAATTATAGTGTATTAATTATTCATTATGTTTAATTAAATAATAAAGAAAAGTATGTCTGGGGTGTACAAAGGAAAGCTAGGTGTGTATATAGATGTGTACAGGGCAAGCCTCTAAGAGACCTACCCTTAACGCTCTGTAAAGGGCCATCACTTTTTCAATGCTTTTGGTGTTATTTTTTGATCAAGGACTTGCAAGGGCTCCCTGTGGTCAAGGGAGTGAAGGACCTCTCGGTGGCAGCTTCTCCAGCTGTGGCTTCCACCTGGGCTGCACACTGTGGGCACTGTAAAACAACAATATGACACCTCTTTGCCCACCATCTCGCACATCAGGGGCGGCTGCAACTCCTCACATTCAGTATGAGCAACTCCAGCTCAGCTTTAATCTTTATTAAGACTATCAGGCAACATTTGCAAAAATAAAACCAAACCAAAATAAAAACAACAAATCAAAACAAAACAAAAAACCAAACAACTTTCTGCTTTACATTGCTAATTTTCATTTAATTACAGTTGTATTTGTATATTTGTAACTAAAGTGCTAGCCATGCCATTTCTACCCTTTTTTTTTTCTTTTTTTTTTCCCAATCTGCTATAAAAAAATAAACCAGTCATTGGTTTCCTGACCCAGACAGCTCCCACGGGTATCAAACACCCTCTAAGTAGAAGATTTTTGGACTGGCTTTCTGATTTGGCTGACAGACACGCAAAATCACACACAGGGAAACTGCTCCAAACCAGGTTGGCAGAGACTGAAAGGTACTACTATCTGGAGTCTGTCCAGAGATAGATGGGAATTACAGTAGTTTTGTAGTTTCAGACAAGTTCCTGGCTGACCAGTATCTGCATCACAAAGCCACCACTATACCCTTCACTTGGCAGTAATTAGTACTTTGTTAACAATCTCCATAGGGAAATGGTTAGCAAAAAGCACAAGAAAGGCCAGAGAATGAGTGATGGGAAACCAGCTGAATATCCAAAATAGCTACATGCAGTGTCAAGAATATGTTGAATAAAGGGAAACGCTGACAGACTCCATATGCACAAATCCATGACATCATAGGGACCACGAAGTCCTGATGGAACAAATCAAGGAACTGGAATAGGGACACAGATACAGTTTTTGGGGTTTTTTTTCAAGAAAAAAGACAAGACAAGGCATTTAGACATGAACATTTGCTTTCCATTTCAGTGGGAGCTAAGAAGCTGGCATCTTGACTGCCTTTGAGAGAAAATGAGGAGGAAAAGAAAAAGATGTATCTCTTGCTGGATGAGTTTTGGGGAAAATTAAATCATGGAGAAGTAGTACATGAGGGTCTTTTTGCTTGAGCAACCCACAGAGATGTTCAAGAGTCAACCTTGTCTCTACAAGGCACTTCAAATAGCATCATATCCTCTGAAAAGCACTAGAGGAGGACACAGACAGTTGTCAGGGTCTTGGAATACACTGGGGGCAGGTTTTCTCTCAGAAAGTGTGGTGTGAAGAGACAAAATGTTTGGGGATACAGCTAAACTACATTTGATTC